ACAGGGTCGCTATGAGTTGGAAACGACTCCACGGCATACAAAACATACAAAAAGTAAGAATACTTACTGAACGCATGCTGTATATCAGGAACTGGACAAAGTATGGTCTCTGTTCTCAAAATGCTCACACTTGAGACATTTGATACCTATCTATGCTTGAAATATTATCTAAGAATTTATATTTCTAATTGCCATGAGCATAGCAAGCAAAGATACTACAGAATTACTATCTGTCTTAAAAAAGGATTAAAAAACAAGGAAAAAACAATTTATCCATTTATCTCAGAGGAGGTCAAACAATTTAAAAGTATCATTTAAAAAATAAACTAAATAATTCATTTTACCAGTACTTTTGCTTTGATTAATATCAATTTAGTATCAGGAACAATATCTGAGGAGTAACAACTGCAGTGCAGAGAATTACTAACATGGCCATATCTACAGTTTGTAATTTCCAAAGACTATGCAAATAAAGTGCTTGTGGCCCATCAAGGGGACTTGAATAGCTTGTTAATAAGGTAAATAAGATGCATGGCACCCTGTGGGGGTAGGACCATGCAAATAAAGGAGTATGGAACCTTAAAGAGGGGTTTGGTCAGTTTTGCCATCCCACTAGTCTTAAAATGAGCCCCTCAAGAGCTAGAAACAGGGGACCTCTCAACCACCAAGAAAGAAGGATTAAAAGAAGAATGCATCCTTTGGATCTGGGATCTTTGCACTGAGAACCACCTAGACCAAGAAAATAGATGGATAGCTGTAACATCAGAGATGGCCAAAACAGTGGCACAGAAATGGCTGGCAGAGGCGCAGGACCAGGAGATGGGCAAGAAACAGTGTGTGTGCTTCTTGGCCCGCAAGCTCAAAAACCGAGAAAGGTAGTGCCTTTACTCAGGAGACTTGCTGATAGAGTGGGGTGACCCTGGGCACTTCTATAACACTCACTGGAGCAGGGCAGAAGCCAAGCAAGGCTGAGAAGTTATGATGACATTTCTGAACCTGTTATGTTCCGAATAAACCCCACAATTACCATGCAGTCATTGCAAGGAGTAATCAAACCCAGCAAAATAAAAAGTGGTATGGGGGTGTCGGTCTCCTTCTCCCTTATGATGTTAGAGGTCAGATGCCTCCTCTGCCACACCATTTTTATGCCAGCACAGGTGCCATTTTCAGGGCATTTTAACTTGGCAGTATTTTCCTAAATGTTATGTAAACAAAAACAGTTTATTTACATATGCTTCTTAAAATATAGTTTATAATGACATGCTATTAAACTGAAAACATTAAATCTAGCTTTGTCATTTTCAAAAAAATGTATATATAAACATGTGATTTGGGGGGAAAGTTAAATGGACTTATCATACCATTTAACATCAGCCTTTTCTAAAACCTCTCTTGGAGGTTAGTGGTGATGATTGTGTGTCAGTTCTGACTCAGTGACCCTATATAGGGTTTCTGAGGCTGTAAATCCTTACAGGAGCAGAAAGCCTCATCTTTCTACTGCAGAGCAGCTGAGGGATTCGAAGTACTGACCTTGCTACACTACCAAGGCTCCCAAACCTCTCTTAATTGGACATTTTAAAAATCAATACTTAAATTTAAATCAATACTTAAATAAGTTCCTATCTTGCTTCTCTACATTTGCTCACTCTTTCTTATTTTTAATTCCTCCACATCTTCTTCCAATATTAGCTTTGTTTTTCTGCTATCTAACAGAGAAAAGCGAAAGTGGCTTTTAAGCTATAAGAGAAACACTATTTCATGTATGTTTGTATAAAAATAGCATGGAAGGAGTATCTGACCTCTAAATTCATAAAGGGAAGAGAGAATAATTACCAGCATCAACAGCCCAAGGCTGATTGCTTTGAGATGGAGGTTAGACATACCACCATTCTCCAACCTTTTTATCAATTCTGACACACACTGTCCTTCCCATGGCACTCTCGAGTTCTCCAGGTTCAATCATTTGCTGCGATTGTCAAATAGAACTCACAAACCAGACTCAAATGTGTGGGGTTTGTTAGGGAAGCAACAGCTTACAATTCAGGATTAGGAATGACTTGGGATATAGTTCTTAGGTCAGAACAGCTTCTCAACCGTGCTGACAGGCAGGCCTCTCCCTGCCTCTCTCGCACTTAGCCTCTTAGTCCTTAGTTCTCTTAGGCTGGCCAGGCCTTTGTTTTGCTTGGGCAAGTGCCCAAGTGTACTTCACCAACCTGCTGTGGCTGCTTCTCGCTTTCTCTGCTGTTACATACTGTTTCTGTCTACTGGGTATAGGAGGTTCTTAGCGTAGGGACTCTGGATTCAAGGGATAGGCTCTGTTCCTATCTCTGCTTGGTGGTAGTGAGGTCGCCCCTATCCACCTCTGAGATGGCTCATTTTAAGCCTAAAAGGATAGCAAAATTTACTAATGCCCTCATTAGGGTCCCACACACATTATCTGCATACACCAAGAATGCCATGCAGCTTATTTGCATTATTAGCAAACTGTTCATGCCTGTTGGTGGGTTGTGAGTACCTGGTTTGGCTCCACAGGATAAGCACTCAACCTCAAGGTCAGTTTGAACCACAAGATTGGCAATTCAAACTCACCAGCCGCTCCTAGGAAACCCTCTATTGGATTGCTATGAGTCAGAACTGACTCAACTGCACTTAACAACAAGAACCCAATAATTTGGTGGCGTTACAAGACCATAGCAAGAAAGGCCATATAAAAGCCATTCACTGCACTCCAATTTGTTTTCAAAACCTTCTGAACTTCAATTAATAGATATTTGTGAGTGAATTGTATTGAATAAATACTCATTATTTAGGTATATGATGAATAACGAAAACTAAGAACATGATATGAAAAACTAAGGTGATGTATTAATGTTGTATTCTGTTGGTTTTGCAACTGTGGCATAGTAAAGAGCACTTATAAGCAATTTTTTCAAAGGTATTTTTATTGTGAAAGATAACTCAAATAATGCAGAAGGATTTGAAGCTAAGTAAAAGTTCCCTCTCCAAGACTCTCCACTACCATGCTGTTGTTGCTGTGTACTGTGGAGTTTGACTCAGAGTGACACTGTATAGGGTTTCTGAGGCTTTAAATCTTTGTGGGCATAGAAAGCCTCATCTTTGTCCCACTGGTGGGCTGGAACTTCGGACCTTGTCATTCACAGTCCCATGCTTATCCTACAGATTACTACCATGTTTTTGTTGCCGGAGAAATGACACATAAAACACAAAAGAGCAATTCAAATGACTTCTCTTCAAAGTTGCAAAGAAGGTCCAATGTGAGCACAAAAAAGCGAACACTAGTAAAGAGGTAAATACCAACAAAGAAACAAAAAGAGAAAGAAAAACTGTAAGATGCATACAGGGGGCTTCAAAAAGTTCCTGGAAAAATTCCATTATCTTTTCATTCTACTTTTGAAGTCCCCTAATATGTTTATTAAAATGAAATCATTTCACAAATGACTATAGTTGTTCCTTCCTTTTCTCCTTCCCATCAAAAGTTATCACAAGGCTTGGATTACAGAGTTAATGAGTATGCGGCACCAGGCATCCCATCCCAGATTTTTTTTGTGTGTGAATGTACCGAAATCTGTAGCCAGTGGATGGTGGAATACCGTACTTTGGTTTTCTACAACATAAACTACTTAGGACCTAGGTAATCTGTCTCTGGTTTGAAAAATCAGTAGACAATCTACATTCGATATCTTCCCTTCAATTCGATTCCTTTTAAATAAGCACTGCTAGAAATAGGTTAGAGGGCATGAGGTTTAGGAACTGGGGCCTCTGCAGGAGGCTTCTTCAGCGGAGTCCCAGTGTACTTACCATTTTTTGGCAAACTCTGGATCACCTTCACAGCCGCCTGAAATCTGGTTTCATGTACAGATGTCGTGTCCGCCATCTCCAGCTGCCAGCGCCGGCCCCGGCTCCAAGGTCTGTCGGGTGAAATCAGGCAGCAGCAGCACCAGCTTTCCCAGGAGCCTGCATGAAACTGGAACATGGAGCGCAGCCGCGGATCAACATGCCCCAAGAGGGGTGGCCGAAGAGCGCAGCTGGTCAGTTCCCTTTGCCCTGCCCTATCCAGGGCACACAGACCTAGGTCGTGGGGCTCCTTCCTCCTCCCAGGGGCGTGACTAAGGCTGAGAACCCGGTCATTGAATACAGAAAAACAACTCACCGAGAGGAAGAGCATCTCTAGCAGAAAGCAGAGTGAGTTTAGCCACCGGTGGTGTCAGAGTCTTTCTCCCACCCCGAGGACCCTGGCAGAGCAGCCACACCCCCCATCCCGGTGGGGTCCGGTTATCAGCGCCCACCCTACAGCCCCGCCCCAGAGTCACCGGAGGATGCACAAGCTGCGGCAGCCACTCTGCGTTTCTGCAAACTCCACCCACCCGCTCTGCGGCCGCTGCGTTAATGGGTCCCAGTCCTCGGGTCCATCAAGAAGAGTCCGGGAATGGAGAAAGTGGAAAACACGACTGTTCCAAGGGGTGATGTCCCCAGTTCAGCCCGCGGAGGATCCCAGCTGCTTGCTTTTTGAACTACATAGGGGAAGTCAAGGCCAGATCCACACTTCGGAGCCAGTGAGACCCACTCCACTAGCTGAGGGCACAGGGGGAATGGGGCTGGGCTCTACTTCTGGCCCCAAAGCAGTGCACATCAATTCCACTGGGCAAAACAATGACTCTGTGATCCCTAGCTCCATTCTTCTTTTAGGCTAATGTTTGAGAAAGGAAGCCCTGGTGTGGCATTGTAAGATAAGCACGGGTCTGCTAACTGCAAGGTCTGCGGTTCAAACCCACCAGTCACTCCTTGGAAACCTTATAGTCACTATGAGTCAGCACTTAACAACAACAATGGGACAGAAACAAAGGATGTAAGATTCAGGCAGACTCCATGAGAACCTTATGCCATTTAAGTTATGTGACCTAAGTCTAATTACTTGGAGTCATGGTGTGGCACTGTGGCATAAACATTGGACTGCTCCTCGGAAACCCTACACAGACCAGGTCAATAAGAGTTGGAACTGGCTTGAGGACATTTAACAAGAACAAGGCAAGTTAGCCTCTGAAATGGCAACAATTATACCATTCCCATCTACCTTTTGTTGTTGTTAAGTGTTTCATCATTCTAAATCAAAGGAACCCTGTATAGGGTTTCCAAAGAGCGACTGGTGAGTTTGAACCACCATCCTTGTGGTTAACAGTCTGGTGCTGACCCTACAGCACCACCACACCAGGGTGGTATAATTATTGTCATTTCAGAGGCTAAGTAACTTACCTTGTTGTTTAGTGTCGAGACAGTTTGGACTCTTGGCCCTGTCTGTATAGTGTTCCCAAGGGAGTCCTGGTGTGATGCTGTAGGATAAGAACTGGGTTGCTAACCGGATTGAAATGCACAAGCTGTGCCTCTAAAACCCTATACATTATTGCTATGAGTCGAATCACTCGATGGCACTTAATAACAAAAAAGGGAGAATGAAAGGAATAGGGGCGATGGGTGAAGGTTGTTTGTTTAACAGATCTTGCACAGCGTTCACTGTCCAGAGTCAAGAAAGCCTGAGCAGCAAGCAGAGCAGAGGAGAGGTTATCTGCAACAAGACAGCAGGGGCGGGAGGGCACTTTTCCCCTTCACGAGCCAGGCACAAACCAGATCCTGCCCAACTGTACAGGAGATTGTGGGGAGGTCTGGGAGGCTATCGTTAATCCTAGAAAGGGGTACCCTGGCCACCTTCCTAGCCTAATACCCCTGGTTCCAGAGGCATCTGCGAAGCGCCCCAGGCCCATCACGAATGGAGTCATAAGGGTTAGAGGAATGGTGTTAGGCGACCCGAAAATACCGACGTCGCCAGACTGGGGGAGACGTTTTTGTCATGTCGGGATGGATTAGGACGGTTACTACTACTACAAATCTAAGCGAAGAATAGGCGCAAACCATAAATTACTCTTCCCTCGGAGTCGCGATGCCGGCATTTACCTTGATATTGCCGGGAAAGGCCTGTCCGGTACTGTCCCCGACGCCCTCCCCTTGCCCTGCCCCGCGGGCTTCTGGGAAATGTAGTCCCGACCCCCCCCAAGGCGCTTCCGGGCACCACCCCTCTACCGGCCGTCTTTCCTCCCATGTCTTCCGGTCCGGTTTCGTCATCTGGACGACGCGGAAGTGACAGCCGCACGAGCTGCGCCTTCCTACTGTGTACCCCAAAGTGCTCACTCCAAATAAACGTCCGTTTTCCCCAGCAGAGGGGTGTTGAATGCTACCTATAGAGCTAGCTGACTTGCTGTGGCTGGACTTGAGAAAGGTGGATTCTAATTTCTTGCTCTTGATGCTTACTAATTTTGATTTTCTAATTTACGTAAACTACAAAGACTGTGTGTTCAATATATACTGCTTCCTCTATCCTTTTTTGCCGTTTGATTATATACTTTTCAGTTCCAATCAGCTCAAGCATACATATTTATTTTGTTGTTTATTTCTAATCTATGACAACTGTTCAGTAAGCTTATGCATTAACTAATTTACAGTATGTTTATGTAATGTTGAGTAAGAATTTTCTGCCAGTGATTGCTTTTCATTTGCTGGTATGAATTTCCAGTTACGGAGAATAGCACAAAGAGAAAGGAAATCGAAATTATTTAAAATAAACATATTTAAATTATTGTTGTTAAGTGCCTTCCAGTCATTCCGACTCATAATGACCCTGTATAGGGGTCCTGAAGGAGCTCTGGTTGCGTAGTGGTTATGAATCGGGCTGCGAACCTTAAGGTCAGCAGTTCGAAACTACCAGCCGCGCCGCGGGAGAAAGATGAGGCTTTCTGCTCTTGTAAAAGATTTACAGCCTCGGAAACCCTGTACAGGGTCGCTATGGGTCGGAACCGACTAGACGGCACTTAACAACAACAACAATAGGGGTTCTGAGGAGTGGCTGGTAAGCTTGAACCTCCGATCATGCGGTTCAAACTGACCTTTCAGTCCAGCACATTAACCCACAGCACCACATGATACTTCACATAGCTGTGTTGATTTTAGATGTGGTAATTCCTGCTGAAATTTAGTGATGAATTATCAATTCACAAGGTACCATATCAGTGTATGAACCTGTAATTCTAGACTATGATATCTCCTAGAACACTAGCTAATATCTTTTAGTATAGTGCCTAACATGAAGCATTCTTTAAAAAAAACCCACAAACTTTATTGTGAATTGCATAAGTGTTTACGGAGCAGATCATCAGTTTTTCATTAATCTAATACACTTGGCTTCATCTCAATGATTGCAACCCCCTCCTTCTAACAACAGTTTTCCTACTTCCCCCTTAAGATTCTTATTTCCATTCCACCCTCCTTCCCAAACCTTTTGAATTTTGCCCTTTTGAACTTGAGTGGTTTATCAATTTGTGGTGAGCATGTGTTACTAGGGTTGTTCTCCTGATACACCGATCTACTTTTTGGCTGAAAACAGAGCCACGAGAGTGATTTCCATTCCAGACCTGAAGAGTGGCCATAATCACAGGTTTCTCCAGTTCCTTTCTGAGCAGTAAACTCAGTCTTTTTAATAATTTAAAATTTTTTGTTCCACATTTTCACCTACTTTATCCAGGACCTTCTAATATGATCCTATGAAAGCATTTGGTAGCCAGGCACCATCTAGTTCTTCTGGTCTCAGAGTCTTGGACACTGACGTTAACAGGTTCCATTAGTCCACTGGACTAATTGAACAACTTTCGTCATTCTTTCCTCCACACATGGAGAGACCAATAGTTGCACCTGAGATGGCTGTTCATGAGCTTTTAAGGTTCCAGTTATTACTCACCAAAGGAGGATGTAAAAAATTGTCTTTGGGGATATGTTACACCAGTTGACCACGGTGTACTTTGCGACTATGGTCCTGAGCCCCAGATCCAGAAACCCTCAAGGTGGTTGGGAATGTTTGAGAAGTTTTCATTATTTTACATCCTGTATGCTCATCAGCTGCTCCTCAGAAATGCTATACAGGGTCATTATGAGTCGTAACTGACTCAACGGCACTAAACAACAACATACTTCACCTGGTGTGGTGCTGTAGCATAAGTGTTGGACTGCTTACCACAAGGAATTCAAACCCACCAGCCATTCCTTAGAAACCCTACACAGGGATGCTATAAGTCAGAACTGACTGGACAGCACTCAACAACAATGCTCCACCATGGATTCCTGGTATGGCACTTTAGGATAAGCACTGGACTGCTAACTACAAGATCAGTAGTTCAAGCCCACTGGCTGCTCCTCGGAAACTCTGTAAAGGGTCACTATGAGTCAGAACCAACTTGATGACACTCAACAATGACAATGTTCCACCACATTCATAGGTGTTTTTGCAGCTAAAGTAAATACTCATGTACAAATATCCTCTGTTAAACCTTTATACATTTGTGGATATATTTCGACTCTCCCTCTATACCCAGTAGAAATCATTTATTACTCAATCAACATTTACTGAGAGCTTACTATATATCTGTGCCAGGCTCTTGAAACAATCTTTGCTTTCCTAGTAACTCTCTCCTAGAGATCCCCCTAGGCTTCCTGTCTCACACCCTCTAAAGAGATTTCATACTCATAATTCTCTATGGGAATATGGATGGAGGTCTCTGCTTCAGCAATTATTTAAAGCTGAATGCGGCAGCATATCCTGCCTTATTGAGTAGCAATCTCTCCCTGACTACTTTATTGTTTTTTATGACTCTGGGGCCTCTTCCTTTGCCATAGGCTGGAAACCTTGAATGACTGTAAGATTACTTTGAAACTGCTGCAATCTTGAGGATACAAACTTGTAGCTAGTAAATTGAATATGCACAGGTCAAAGATTAATAGCAATAAAATGGGTACTAAGGGTTTAAAAAAAAAAAAAAAGGTGGAATCCAGGCCAGGTGTTAATGGACGGAAACTAGCTCTTGATAAGTTTTCTTATACTCTGGTTTATCTAGGACTGGGCTCTTGCCTGATGTAGAATGTGTTAAGGCCCTAATC